GCCCTCGAAGACCGATGCTGGAGCAACGCTGGCCGGAGCCGGAGCCAGGTGGCGCAACTCTGTGACCTAGCTTAGTGGGGCCGTGAGGCCTGGTAGAGAGCTCTCGGGGGCTGTGTGCGGGGGCAGTCTCAGTGGTCATCGGGGGTCGTAACTGGAGCAATGCTGGACGGTTTTGGAGTAAGGTGGTGCAGCTCTGTAACCTAACCTGATGGGAGCATGAGGCTTGGAAGAACTTCAGTTTGTGCTGAAAACAGTCACGCTGGTGGTGGTCGTAGGTGGATTGAATAGGTTTCACCTATCTGATTTGTTAGTGGTTCTTATGAATGTCTTAGGACTCTGGGGAATCTTAGCAACCCATCCTAGGCGGTTTTGAAGCGGTTATACTCAGTGATCTGCGGCTGTTCGATGCCAAAACGACGCTGGTCGGTGCTGGGGTGTTGCCCTGTAACCTGTTGATGCAAGAGTGTGAGGCCTGGTAGAGAGATCTGGGGATGCTTTGGGGTGGGCATCCCAAGGGACAGCCAAGGTTTGCTGCTGGGACGACGCTTTATTGGAGTTGGGGCGAGTTGTGTTGCCTGTAACCCAGTAGGGTGGGGGCGTGAGGCCTGGAAGAGCTCAGCAAGGAGTAAGACTGTGTTGGAAAGTCTTAGAAGGGCTTGTTAGGAATCCTGAGGGTTGTGAGCATTCGTAGGACGTCTGTGGCAGCCTACTGCATGAGTAGTTCTTTAATAGGTCATTAGATATTCACAGGCTGATCTCAGTCGAAGCCGGGTAATGGCCCCGGCATCTCAAATGATCTCAAATGTTCTTAATGATCTGTACAATTCGATATGGGACGCTGCGCCTGGTTCCCAACACGTGCTGCTCCCCACGAATAGATTGGAGCGTTTTTTTTTTGTTTTTGTTTTTTTTTTTTTAAAGAGAAAAAAAAAGAGACAAAAGAAGGCAAAGAAGAAGCACGAGATTGACAACACCTCACCGCCAGATTCCATAATTTTGCCACGTTTGAGAGACAGCCCTATGCCGAGTCCAACGGTGCCTCTTCGATCGAAGTCTCCAGTTCGTCAGTTTCCTGCGCCTTACCTTTCCTGATGTCCTGTTCTTCTTGCTCATCTCCTAACCTCGATCTCGTACCATAACCTTTTGCACGGAACACGACCCAACATAGATCTTCCTACAGGAACATCTACAATAGATCCAGTACGTTTGACAATATCTCCTTCTTTAATGGCAGTATCACTACCAAAAATCACAATTCCTACACTCTCATTTTCTAGATTCAGTGCCATTCCTTTAACACCACTGGAAAATTCGACCATTTCTCCAGCTTGAATCTTGTTCAATCCATAAACACGTGCAATTCCATCTCCTACCGAAACCACTCGACCGATTTCATCCACTTGTAATTTGGTGTAATAATTTGTAATTCTTTGTTCTAATAAAGTAGATAGTTCCGCTAATACAGCAACACCTAACTCTAACCCAGTTAATGCGAAAACAATGAGAAAAGGTGCAAGATGAGCTAAATACATGATACCTCCCATAGACAACATAGTCCAAGCAAAACCACTCAAAATCTTCACTAAACTATGACCAGCCATCATATTGGCAAATAAACGTATTCCTAGACTTAGTGCGCGAAAACAATAAGAAATTAGTTCAAGAAGTACTAAAACAGGTGCTAATGGCAAAGGTACGCCTTGAGGTAATAAAAAACTCAAAAAATGAAGTCCATGAGTTTGAAATCCCACTATAGTAAGCCCAATAAAAAGAGATAATGAAAGACCAAAGGTGACCGCGTCTGCACATAGGGTTCCAATCCTGCCTTCTTCAAAGTGCGACGGTGTTTCTTCTCCTCAGCAAGAAACATATGCCGATCATTGACCGCAACCACCTTAATGGTCAAAGCACTTGGCCTGCCTAGCGGCCCTTTCTTCTTCTTTTGTGAGTTGTTGATCGCCATTTGTTCCAAACGATTGTGCAAGTTCGTGCCCTCTATCTTTGGTGATTTCAGCAGATCTGCCTGCTTCGTGAGCAAATCGGCTTTCTTTTCCACGACCATTTGCTTTGCCCCCGCCTCTGCACTTTTCTGCTTCAGCAACTTCACTTCCACAAAGGACAACTGCTACATTTCCCTTAATCTCCGGTACTGTTTGCGTAACTTCTCGAGATCATTTGGCGAAGTTACAGAGCGAGATTTAGGCCTCCCTTGTGACTCACTTTGTGGTGCGCTAATGGCAATGTTACCATGTTTGTTACCCGGATGAAGGGCCGCACATCTCCATTGTTGCCCCTCCTCTGCCGACAACTCTTTCTCCTTCTTCAGGCTTTTCACCTGCTCCTTCAGTTCCTCCAATTGTCTTCCCAAATCCAGCTTATTGCTCAGAACTTCCTTCCCCCTCTTCAACGTTTCAATATCCTCCTTCAACTTCTTTGAGAATAGTTTAGCTCGCAGCTCCGTAACCTCCCTTCGAAGTCTAACCGCGTCATCTGCCTGCAACCCTTTACTCGTGCTTGCTCTGTCTACTCTTTCCACCTCTCCCATTCGATGCAGTAATGCGTCAAAGACAAACACCAAACGTTGGTCAATCTTGGCCCCACATCCACGAACAACTCTTCTCTTTCCTACGAACAAGCGCCTCTTGAGCTTCTTTCTCCTTTCTTTCCTCAACTTCCTTCTCCTGATCTATCTGCGCCGTCAACCTGAGTTACTTGTAGAAACCATTCATATCTTCAAGCATGTTCTGGTTTTGTTGCCACCAGTCCGGCTTCGGTGTCGCCGCGAAGTGCTGAGCTGATGGTTGTGTCTGGAAATGTTCGCCAGTCGTAGCTGGTGTGGGCGCCTGAGCCACGACGCTAGTTGTGGTTGGAGGAAGATCCAAAAGTTGACTTGTGTTAGACACAGGAACCGCAATTGTGGTTGGAGGAAGAGCCAGAAGCGTATTTGCACTTGTGGCCACATTCCGACGTGGATGAGGACACTTCCGTGAGAAGTGTCTGTGAAGACCGGAGTTGTAGCACGCCATCCTCTCTCGTCACCACAAAACAACCGTTGATATCGTAGCCCCTCTATCGTAGTATGGCCTCTACGATGGTTACTACGTGAAATGGAGTGGAATAGAGTAAACTCTTTCATATTCAATCATTAATATATGACGAGCTTGAAGGCATCCATCCAATATTAAGACTTATTGAGCGGACAACGGGAAGAAATAGTAGGAGCAGATAGAAAGGGGGGGAAGCGAAAGGAAAGAAGAAGAAGAATTGAAAAAAAATTGAAAAAGCGAGGCCAATCGCTATGCGTCCATGTCTCGATGATGTCAATGACGCACCTACACGGACTATCAGCTCAACGCGCACATTCCCCGACGCGTTTCGCCTGGCTCCGCACCAGGACTTATCAAGGGGCAACCACACTCCCGCATCCACCGTAACAATCCACCCTGAGCAAAGAGGACCTTCCTGGCCTTGTCCTCCTGAGATATACTGACATTGTTCCACGTTTGCAACTGACTGGTCGGGCCTCGACCCGGCTCGGTTGCAACTGACTCGGCTTGCCTGTACACTCGTCCCTTCTTCCTGCCTTCCTTACGTGTGTGCCCCCTGTGTGTGCCGGATTTTCGAACTGCACGTGTACTGGTCGGCGGTAGGGGCCTACGCTGCGTCGTCAGCCCTTCAGGCCTTAATCTTCTTCCGTACCGGGTCAGTTTTTCTCATTAGGTACCTGCCAGTCAGGATCTCCCTTCCCGTTACCTGGTTTCGACTCCACTAGCCCATGTGCCCGTCGTCTTGGTCCTATCAACCCCACGCCAGCTAGCACTCTCCCGGTCCCCCCCATGGTACCTCACCCTTTCCCGACTCTTAGCCCTCCACCCCGCCTCTCCCCTACTTCCAGTTGCAACCACCTGCGGCCTCTGCTACTCCTTGACCCTACTCCCTCTTTGTCGGCCCTATTGTACAGCCCATTCCACAGCAAACTGGGATCCCTCCCTTACTAACTAGTGTACACCCTGTTCATCCAGGTCTCGCCTCTGCCTCCTGCAGTACTAATCTACCCCCAACCCCACTTTTGACCCAGTTCCCAGCCGCCCGTTACCAGGTTTCTCCTTCCTCCCATCTATTGTACACCCGGGCTCAACCCGGCCTTGTCTCCCACCCTCCTAATGTACGGGGCCACACCTGCTTCCTCCACGTCTGCCCGTAATCCCCTCATGCGCGCAGTTTATGCCCCGGTGCTGAGTACCAGTACGCAGTTTCTCCTTCCCACTTCCTCCCATCTGACCCCCGCTCATGTGTACATGCCTCTTCCCCTCATTCTCCCATTCTTCCTCCCTCAGGGGTCTTCCTTGCAGCAATTTAACTGGCTGTTCGGCCAGTGTCTTCAACGCTGCTCCGAACGGGCCGGTGGCTTTGGCGAATATCGCCAGAGCATTGGAAAAGAGCGCCGGGGGATACCCCCGGCGCCCCAGCTCAATACTGACGGATAGCGCCGCTTGGACTCCCGTCGCTCGGTCACTAGCGTGCTGTTTGATCCTGTGAAGTGCGGCTATCACCGTGCCTGCCTTCGCTCGTTTATCTGAGTATGAAGCAAAATCTTGGAAACATCTGAAGGCTAGTGGCTCTTCCAACACCACTCCCTCATTCTTATGTTTAGCGCGAATGACAAATTTGATCGGCTCGGGCAGCGCTGCAGCTCTGATCCCCAAGAAGTCCCAAGAGTTGGTACCGTCATCCGTCCTTACCAGCATTAACTACTCCCCATACGCGTTCGCGAATTTCTGACAACATACCTCGCTGTCGATACGCTCCGATGGTCACTCATGTCATAGGCAACTACCAGAGTGACATCGTCTATCAGCCTGACCCCGTGTGCCAGCCTCTAGTCTGGCCCCAGGGAGCTCATAAAGTCCACCTCATGCTTTGCACACAGCACACATGCGAGCGAGGGGTTGGAGTTCTTTCCCATGGGGATACCCACGACCTGTTTGAGTATCATCTTCCTACACATAATGTACGTGCTCTCTAACTCGTAGATGATCATCTGCTGAATCTGAGAGAACTTGACTTTCACATATCACGGCCCCGGGCTCTTCCGGTTAATGGTTACCACTCGACCTCGCCTACTCAGGCTCACTTTGAACACTCCCCTCAACTCCCACTGCTGCAGCAGCCAATCGACAGCTCGCCGAACTGCCTCGTGTGGCAGTGATGTGAACATCTCCTTGATGTCGTAGCTCGCCATCAGGGCCATCGTCCTATCCCCAAAAATATTCAGCCTTTCTTCAGCCTTCTCCAAGTTCTGTTTCAGCATCGCGGTGGCCTTCAGATTGAAGTGCTTGGCTTTAGGGACCCTCTCCAGCAGGAAGTTAAGTACCCGTGCTAGTCTCCTCCCCGCCGTCTTGGATCCCTCCGTTCTCGTTGGCGCTATGGGCCTCCACCTCGTCAGGTCCTTATGCTTCGGCAGGACGTACGTTTGGCCTAGCCTGGCCGCTGGGTTCCAGGCGCCAATCTTATTGAGGGCTTGCTCTTTGAACACCGCCTTCACTTGAGCTAGCACCTCCGTCTCGGACACCCCAGAGACTTGCTGGTAGGCAACATTTAGATTGAACATCATCTGGAGGCCATGGTGGTACGTCGAAGGGCACATGACCACTATATCTCCCGGGTTCCTGTCAACCGGGACCACCACCAGGTGGCTCACCTTTGCCGCTATCTCTCTCGCCTTTTCCTCCGGGCAAGCCTGTCTAGTTTCAACATGGTTTGATATAATATCCTGGAATACACTTGGGTCTGCTACCTGGAACAGGTCTCTCCTCATGACTGCTTCCAGGGACTTTTCGACTGCTCGCTGCACCTCCGCTGGTCTTGTACCAGCATCACTTTGCAAGACATTCTTCCCGTTGTGCAGAAACCCAAGAACCATCGAGCATTGCGCAACACGTGCTAACACATGTCCATCCACTCTCGGCGGTCGATCCTGGCTACACGTACAGTACGCTGAAGCCTCCCTTGCCGCCTTCCGATGGTTGGTTAAGACCTGCTCGACCGTGCCATTCTTCTTCCACACCACTCTCACCCAGCGCCGCAGCACCGTTGTCAGTATCGGATGAACTCTACTCTTCTCCACACATAGTACCACTGTGTCATGTATCCTCCTCTTCTTCAGATGGTGGCTATACTTCACTTTCACATTGACCTTCAGTCTGATATTCACCCCAGTCTTCTTCCTGATCACTGCAGCTATCTTCTCTTTCAGTGTCCTCCTCGTACTCTTGGTCTTGAACTCCCTGGCACACATGTATAAGAAGACCAGCTTCGTGACATCGAAGAATTTCAACTCTGCCTGCTTCCTTGACATCTCCAGCAACAGCCTTAGATACCCTTTCCCTCTACTCCTTGCACTCTCAGTTTTTACTATCGGTGCCACTCTGAAAGGGCCCCCTCGTTCGAGGAGCTGCTTGGTCCTCACTAGGGGTAACTTCACTTCTTCAACGGCAACGGTCGACGTCCCAAACGTCCTCCGGATGACGGACCACTTTTCTCCCCACACCTCACCCCCCGATGATACGATTTCCACCGCCTTCATTCCTGCAGCAATCGTGTCCTCCAGGAGCTCCGCTAGGCTAAAATACCGCTTTGGTTGCCTTACAAGTGTGATGTACAAGAGCCCTCTCCGTTGCATTGGCATGGGTGCTACCGCCTTTTGTCTCTCCTTTTTACCGAGTCTGGCTTTCTGCTTCGTCCCTGCACCACGACCGACCATGTTCAGCGCAGGGGAGAACCTGCAGATAAGGGCTTTCTACAACACTTGCAGACCTTCTCCTGCCCCCGTTGCTATCGGAAGGGTTAAGTACTTCTCCATCCGAAGACTTTCAGGAAAGAGTACAGCTTGGGGGTGTGCCCATAGTTACCAGTCACCGTACACCGAATGTGCTCCCACCACCTCTCTCCTCCTCCTCGAACTGCCTGCCCAGTATACATCCTCTTGCACACGGTGATATTAGACAATGCACCATTGGGCCCCTAAGATCGAAAAAATCATGTCCTGTTGGGTTCACCGTTAAGTTTTTTTCTGGCCCACGGAGCCACTCCGCTCAACAACAGCAAGAGGAACACGACAATGATCGTCTGTTCTATACAAATCCTGAAATTCGTTAACCCAAACTTCCCCCAGACGCTATCTCGGAGCCCCATGTATAACAGGAGCTTGTCCCAGAGGCACCGTGCTGGAGGGGCGTACCGTCAATCTGCGTGTGGAGCAGCATCTGTCCCCAAACCCCTGTCCTCCTTCTTGTTCTCATCGCTATCAGCCCCAGTCAACCAGCCGTCATACGCCTCTCTTGTTTCTGCTGCTACCGAGTCTTTGATCACTTGCCCTTTCAAAACCCACCTGATATTCTTCATCCTACACAACTGCTTGAGTTCGGGTGCTTGCTTTGCTTGCATGCTCTCCCGCAGCTCGAGGATGAAGTCAATCACCCCTTGCTTAGAGCATGACGCCACTGCTCCTTTCCTCTTCCCCTCTGCGCAGGCTGGCTCTTTACCTTTCCTTGTGACCACTGTCCTCCTCCTAGTAGTGGGCGTGACCTCGCTCCTTTCCACAACGTTTACCTCTCGTTCACACTCATCCAGGTCCAGTCTCCTCTTCGGGTTCGGGTACGGCTCCACTCTGGGCCTCCTTGGTACGTCCCCCTCCGTACGCTCCAGGAACCGCAACAGGCTATCATGCAGCCTCGCACTCTTCTCCTCCGAAGCAGTTAACGTCGAGTGCACATGGTCTTTAATTTTCTCCTCTAACACCGTCATCTGCTTGGCAAATGCTTGCAATGCATTGGCTTCCATAATCGCTTGCGCCCGCCGCTTCTCAACTTCCTCCCTTTGTTTGGCTTCTTCTAGCCTCTGTCTCTCTTCCTCTAACCGTTTCTTCTCGCTCTGCCCTCTTCTTCTCCGCTGCTTCCAACTGCTGATTCTCCACAAATAAGAGCAATCTGTTCAACCGATCCTCCTCTTCGTTCCTCCTCGGTTGACTGTAGGCACTCTGTCCTAACTCTTGCTCCGTAGATCCCCCGACCTTGGTTTTGCCAGCTTCTCCCATTCTGCTTATGCGGGCAGTCACGTGCAAAATGCCCGTATTCCCCACAATTATAACACGGCCCTCCTGGACCTGCTGGCTGGGGAGGGGGAGGTGGAGGAGGAGGAGGAGGAGAAGAAGAAGAGTGGCCTGGTGTGTGGGTAGCACCCACGTAACCAGTTGCGTACGGACCAGTTGTAGTCTGCAGGGGATACATGGAGACCGGTCGATCAACCCTGCAGCTTCCTGTCAAATTCCTCAGACCTCCTCGTTGGCGGCTGATGGATGCTCCCTCCCCTGCTGAACCTACCTCACAAGACGTTCTGATCGCAGTACCCCTTTGGCTATCAGCGGTCAATTCGACTACTGACTTACCATGCCTGTCGCCTCTATTATTCCCTGGCTGCAAACTCCCCACTTGTACTCCTAGAAGCACTCCCCACCTGCCTTACAATCCCACCCTCGGTTCTCTGGACTCGCTCTCGTTCAACACAAACTTCAAATCACGCCCCCGTCCAGCTCACTTCTTTAGATTCATATGCCCCGGCTAACTCTCTCACTCAAACTCCCATCTACCTACGTCCTTTACGTCAGTTAGCTCGACATCACACCCTTTCGTCAAATCTACCATACACAACACCAACCACCAATATACCTGCATAGTGTAAGTCTCCTCGCTTTGCTCACCTCGACTCCAGACCCTTCCAGCTTTCCGCAAAGTGGGAGCCAGCTCAATGCACGCGCTACCGGTCGTCTGTCCCTATGAGCACGTCAGCTGCGTTCGCGCTCGATAAACCCGGGCTGCAAATTCACCCCAACATGGCTGAACTTAGTCTTCCCTTATAGGGGTTGCACTACAACACTGCGTTCGGTAAGTCACGCGCTCTACGAACGAACCACGTTCGTGGTCAGGCTTCCCCAGCTACGCATGCCTTGTTGCTCGCAAGGCCGCTTACTTCAACTGTCGAGCTCAACTACAATGGACTCTTCTCAAACTTCTCGCCACAGTTTATTAACACACGCTACCGGTCATTTGTCTGTATGTGCACAACAGGTGCGTTCGCGCTTGATAAACACGGGCTGTAATTACTCCCCAACGCGACTTACCTTCGTCTTACTTTACAGGAGTTGCCCAACAGCACTGCGTTCAGTAAGTCACGTACTCTTCGAATGACAACCACGTTCATGGTCAGGCTTCCCCAGCTATGCATGCCTCGTGTCGAGATACCACATTGCTCACACGGCCGCTCCCCTCAACTGTCGAGCTCCCCTACAAGGAACTCTTCTCAAACTTCTCGCCACAGTTTATCAACCGTCAGCACAATGGCGTCTCGAACCCGCCTTATAACTCGACACCCCACTTGTCACTTTCATCTCAGCTTGTCGCACCGCTCAGTCATCCCCTTGCTTACTTATCGATCATCACTTCCATTCGTGAGTCACCCCAACACCCCGACTTCTCTCGTTTTTACACACTGTACGTTCGACTCCCGCTCCTCGAGCTTCACGGAAAGTCCGCTCACCTCCCTCTTCGGCTATCGCCCCGCCAGTCAGTTCTTTCCTTACTAACCTTTCTCTTTCTTCACGTCGTTTTTCCTCCACGGTCAGCTCAACGGCTCCACTCTCCTCCTTCCAAACTCGGCCCGCCACCTATCATAAAAACACACACTTTGTTTCGCATCTCAGTCATCCACTTCCTTACTTACCAGCTCTCGCTCACCTCCCTCCTCGGCTATCGCATCACCTTCCGGTTCTTCTTTACCTTAAAGTGCTTGCTGATCACTACCCCGAACTCTCAATACCACGACATTGGGAGCTCCCCGCTATCAAGCAACTCTCCACCAGCTTTTCCCTTCCTAACCTTCCTCGTACTTCACACCGCTTTTCCCAACGATCAGCACTACTGCGCTACTCTCATCCTTCACAACCGGGCGTCTCGCCTGTCATAACAGCACGTCTTGCTGCTCTGCTCAGTCATCTCCCTCCTTACTTACCAAGCAGTTCTTCAACACGTGCGTCATCCGGACCACCATCCCCGGTTGTCGCACCACAAGACTATTCTTAACTACCTCTCTGTACAGAACTCCAGACACTCGTCACTGCGACTCTCCGCTTGCTGCGTCACTCGGTTATCTACTAGTTACTTACCAACAGCTCTTCGATCCGTGATCTTCCCAACCCTCACGTCGCATTTATTCTTCTTACGCTCATCACCCCGCCCTTCTGGTTTCACGTCAAGTCACCTCTTAGTGCCTCCGCTCACCCTCCTCCTTCCCCCGGCTGTCACAACTTGAGTCTATCCTTAACAATTTCTCATTACGAGCTACTCACCATTCCGAACATTCGTCGCCGCCCTCCTTGGGAGCTCACCTCTTCACTGTCGAGCTCTTCCTTGCACTCCTTTATTTCTCTCATACTCCCTCGTTTCTCTCTTCTCTATCGCTTTCACTCCCTCTCTTCTTCACCATCCCTCTCTTTCACTACTTCCTTCCCCTCCCCTCTCTTCTGCTTTTTTCCCCTTCGCTCTCCACTCGTGAACCTCTGTGTCGCTCCTCTTCCTTACATGCATGTCTGTTGTAGGCGTAACCACCATAACGAGTACGACCTCTCGTCTGGTTGTTACGCATTCCAGAATTGAAATAGCGAGGCCAATCGATATGCGTCCATGTCTCGATGATGTCAATGAAACACCTACACGGACTATCAGCTCAACGCGCACATTCCCCGACGCGTTTCGCCTGGCTGTGCACCAGGACTTATCAAGGGGCGACCACACTCCCGCATCCACCGTAACAATCCACCCTGAGCAAAGAGGACCTTCATGGCCTTTTCCTCCTGAGATATACTGACACTATTCCACGTTTGCAACTGACTGGTCGGGTCTCGAACCGGCTCGGTTGCAACTGACGCGGCTTGCATGTACACTCATCCCTTGTTCCCGCCTTCCTCACGTGTGCTCCCCCTGTGTGTGCCGGATTTTCGAACTGCACGTGTACTGGTCGACGGTAGGGGCCTACGCTGCGTCGTCAACCCTCCAGGCCTTAATCTTCTTCCGTACCGGGTCATTTTTTCGCATTAGGTACCTGCCAGTCAGGATCTCCCTTCCCGTTACCTGGTTTCGACTCCACTAGCCCATGTGCCCGTCGTCTCGGTCCTATCAACCTCACGCCAGCTAGCACTCTCCCGGTTCCCCCCACGGTACCTCACCCTTTCCCGACTCTTAGCCCTCCACCCCGCCTCTCCCCTACTTCCAGCTGCAACCACCTGCGGCCTCTGCTACTCCTTCCGCCTACTCCCTCTTTGTCGGCCCTATTGTACAGCCCATTCCACAGCAAACTGGGATCCCTCCCTTACTAACTAGTGTACACCCTGTTCGTCCAGGTCTCACCTCTGCCCCCTGCAGTACTAATCTACCCCCTACCCCCACTTTCGACCCGGTTCCCAGTCGCCCGTTACCAGGTTTCTCCTTCCTCCCATCTATTGTACACCCGGGCTCAACCCGGCCTTGTCTCCCACCCTCCTAATGTACGGGGCCACACCTGCTTCCTCCACGTCTGCCCGTAATCCCCTCATGCGCGCAGTTTACACCCCGGTGCTGAGTACCAGTAGGCAGTTTCTCCTTCCCACTTCCTTCCATCTGACACCCGCTCATGTGTACATGCCTCTTCCCCTCATTCTCCCATTCTTCCTCCCTCAGGGGTCTTCCTTGCAGCAATTTAACTGGCTGTTCGGCCAGCTTCTTCAACCCTGCTCCGAACGGGCCGGTGGCTCTGTCAAATATCGCCAGAGTATACGAAGAGGAAGAAGACGAAGAAGGAGAAGAGAAAAAGAAGAAGAGGAGGGGAGGAAGCAGCAGAATAACGAAGAAGGGGAAGAACAGACGGATGGAGTGGAGGACCGAGGTGCAATGACTTGCTGGTTCCAGGTTGCTTGTAGCCTCTCTCAGGCGAGGCTGTACCATAGGTAGGGACAAATTTGTAATTTTGTTTGGCTGAGGGCTAACCGAGAGACCTACCTGTAAGGAAAATTCGTGAGGGACATATTTGTAAATATAGGAGATATGGGCCCAGTACTAACTCAAATTTCCTACAGTT